TTCTAATTAGAGGGTGACTGTAAGGTGTCTGCTCCTCCTTAGCGGGTTGTTCCTGTTTCTCACTTTGTGACACCTGCGTGGAGTTCATTCCAGTTCACCTTGTGATTTGGGGTAGGCTGATTGAGCAACAGCAGGCCTCTGGAGGGGAGAGCACGTTTCCCGATGCCAGCACCAGCACTCCAAGAGCATTAAGTGGCATGGGAGAGGTGAGGAACGTGATTTGGAGACGAGGGTACTTTGCCTTAGGGACTGCAGTGGCTTGAGCATGGTGGAAGGGGTGGTCAGTCAGTCCTTTCCAAGCTATGTGCCTAAATACCAGCACTCTCCTGGCGAGGGAGGAGCTATAGGCAGCTACAACACTAACAGCACCCGCATTGTGAGAAGGTGTGAAGTGTTGCCAGGCAGGGCACGAGGGCCTAGCTGGGTTGTCTTCTGGCCCTGTAGCAGCATCAAACTGCATCTGATTTCACTGCCCTCTGCGTCTGAGTGGAGCAGGGAACGCAAGGCGGTTTTCTCTTTCTCCATTCCTTGTGCTCCGAATGAAGGAGACTGCCGAGACTGGAAGAGGATTTACTTCAGTTTGTGCAAAGGAGGTGGTGTGATCTCTCTTTTGTGACCAGCATTTAAAGATCACTCAGGCTGGGGTGATCTATAAAATAAATTTTAAAGAAGTTTGTTCCAAGTTAAAGTATGTCTTGTTGCAGTTTGTCCTTCTGGAAAACCAGCGCTTGCCGCTGCAATGCCGAAAGCCAGACCAAGAGGGTTTGCCTGGCACCAGGCTCTTTTGCTGGCTCCATTTGTAGTGAAGGCAGGGTAGGGCATGCCGTACCACACCACAGGAGAGTGCTGCTGAGCCTCTGTATATGTATAGGCCTGACAGCTTTTAAGTGCTTCTTGGTGGCAGAGAGATGAAATGAGAATGCTTGCATGGTATGAGCTATGTTGTGTGAGACATATACATGTGTGTGTGAAGAGCTGCTATAGCAAATCACTTGAGGCCAGCTCCATCAGAGACACTGCCAGAGGATGCAGGTACAGTACAGCACTTCCATTGCCTGTGTAAGCCTGTGCTCCGTGTGCCCTAGCTAGGACTTGCCCCTCACCTGTTTGTGTAAATACAGCAGGAGTCTCCAGGGCTTGGAATGGGTCTTTTCCTGCCACCTCAGTTGATCTCAGAGGCTCATGAAGGCTGTTCCTGCCCTGCACAGCTCTTTCAAAGGTATGTGTTGGACTGGGAGCTGGTGTAGATGGAGGAAAGGCCCATGCATCCCTTCTGCTCCTCAAGAGGGCTGGTCCAGGGCCAGCAGAGAACAACACCCTTCCCTGGGGTGGCCAGTGAACAACTGCATGGGCACACATGAACACAAGCCTGCCTCCAGCCCATCTTGGTTAAGCAGATACTGGTGTGACTCTCCTCAAGCTCAAGCCAGTCCAATTTCCCTTTCTGCAGCTGGTTTTCTTTATGCTCAGGTTAACTTCCTCACGGTGAGAACAATTAAGTACTTCCTTTCTACTTGCTCTTTAGCTGCCTCCTGAGTAATTTACAGCCCACGTTTCAGGAAAAGAAAGCAACCTGCAGCTACCCTTAACTTGTGAGATAGGTCAGGCTTTGTCCTTGCCTTCCCTGCTGCCTCAGTCTCATGTGCCACTCCTCAGGGCCCAGCCTGGCTCTGCTCCTACCCATGATAAGGCACAGTATGGATGGATGTCCAGGGAGTGGGTGGTGGTCACAGCAGGATGGAATGAGCACGCAGGCATGGACCACCACAGACTACTTACTGGAAGTTACTAATGATTTGAATTCCTTAGGATTTTAAGTCTTGTTTTCATCATTATTCCATGCTGGTTTTGCATCCCAGAGTCTGTTTGATAACGGGTGTAAAAACTTCTGCCCTAGAGTTAGTATGTCAGGCTAGAAAATAAGGATTTGCCATAAGAATACATAGAAATGCTACAGGAATAGCTTGTGCATCAGTCCCACCAGCAAATTCACCTACATCACATCCAAAACACTCGCAGCAGTTTTTGATATAATTTATTTGTCTTGGTATTATTTTTTTTTCTTGCACAGGCATAAATTACAATCTGTTGATTAAAAAGTAAGATGAACAAAACAGTGCAGCATTTGCAACAGGCTACAGTATCAAACACAAACATCTCCTGGGCAGGGCAAACTGAGGAGGGAGAGCAGAGGACAGAAATGAAGTAAAATAAGGGAAATCTGCTCTGACCGCTGTTTCCCATGTCTCCTGCCATACCAGGCTCACCTGCAGCAGCACAAGGATGAAATACCCCTGGCCAGAGATGCATGTGCTGAAGCAGCGGTTTGATGTGCCTTCCTTCCCTCTGCAGCCCAGGAAGGTGTTGCAGCAATGGAGAGCAGCTGCCTGAGTGCTCTGACTCCAGTCTGGCACCCGTGAGCAGAGCTTGGGTGCTGACAAACCATGTGTAGTCTCACCATGCCTTCCTGGGACTCCTCATGCAGTTGCCATGAGGAGACCCCCAAAACCAGCACTAACCCCTGGAGAAGGGCATAAACCCTGGCTCCAGGGGTTTTTACCTCAGAACAGCACACTTTTATCTCTGCTGGACAGGGCAGGCTTGCCCTGTAAAGCCAAATGCTCCCTACCCCATAGCCAGCGGTTAACAGCCCCTTGGAAGAAGCTGAGACCCAGCTCCAGTTCCATTCTTGGGGAAAGAGGTTCCCCCTTTCCCACCTCTCACCACCATGCCTGATTTACCACAAAAGCAATCCTGGCAGCCCAACCCAGAGGGCAGGGAGCTAGAAGGGAAGTAAGAAAAGGGGTTTTCCAGCCTTGTGGTTATGGCATTTGCTCCAGCAGCCAAAGAACCCCTGGGGAAGGGGGAGAGCTTCATCTCTCTATCACTCAAATACAGGGGCTGCTCTGCCCAACCCAGGCCAGGCCTATGCATTTATAAAAGCACAACACCCTGTGCGCAGGGCACTCATGGACATGACTCCCAGGCAAGCAGGCAGCTGCAGACAAGTTTAAAATAACTCTGGCTGTGGCTGCCAAGAATTAAGACTATGCTCAATATAGGAGAGAATTTATCCTTGCTGGATCTGGCTGTGGATCTGCTTTCTCCCAGCAGCAGGGCATCCCAGTGCTGCGGAGAGCTCCATGGGGTCACTTTAAGCTGCTGGAGATGGGGCTGCACGCTTCAGGCTCCCATTCCTAGCTCGGAGCAAAAAGACCCCTCCAGAAGGGGTGTGCTCACATCATCCTCATCCCCTCCATGTGGCATGGAGTGGGTCAGAACTCAGCCCCTCTGCCCAGTGGACACTGGAGCATGCCGAAGGGAGACACTTCTTCAGCCCATTCCCCTCCTTTTTATCCCTCACCCTACAGTGCTTCAAGCAGAAAAGACCATATAAGAATCAATTCATTGTGCACCCCTAACTGCTGGTGGTGCCAGGGGAAGGATGATGCCAGCATCAGATAGGGCCAAAACACTAAACATGAGCTCTTTCTTTAGCTTTTATTTCAACAAAATACATGACAAATGTGGAGGTTTTAAATGCCATCCAAGAAAGCCAAATTAGGGGTGATGCAGGCAGCCAGGAAGCAGAGTGGCCAGATGGCCCTGGCACTCCTCAGCTCAGGGAAGGTCCCCATGCAACCGTCCTGCAGTCCCCTGCCACAGGGAAGGACTTCCTGCTGCCCCCTATCACACCCCTATGGATAGAGGCAGGAGTTACATGCCCACTGCAGGCAGAACTCCCCATCCTCTTCCAGCACGGTCAGGGAACGAGCCACGCTGGTCAGGAGGAGGCAGCAGGGAAAGGAGATCACCCTGTGCCAGCCATCTGCCACTGGGGACCAGGAGGTGACAGAGGCAGCCCTGAGCACCGCAGGTGGGGGAGGCCCCAGTGCCCCCCAAGGTGCAGGAGCATGCTGGCCCCTGCAGGCCCTGGGGATTGCCCCATCTCCCACCCATGGAGAGAGTGGGGCAGGGCTCCAGCTCACTGCAGGCAGTCACCTATACACATGATGGACAAGAGGCCACAGCCACACATTGCAGTCTCGGAGGATGTCTCCGGAGCAAGGAGGGCAGGATCTCCAGCATCCTGCCAGGCAGCAGTCCACAGAGGACCTTGTCTCCCAGGTTCAGCTACCAAGCCACCAGCAACTCAAGGCCTGTATCTTAAACAGTTCTGCTCATCTTATTCTAGCTTATCCTACTGTGTGTGCGCTATTCCCATGCTAAACAAAGCTCTAGCCCTCTTTGCATCTAAGCCACTTGCCCAAGCGGCACCATGTAACATTCTCTGGTTAAGTAGCAATCACATGGAAAAGGTTTTTTTTGACTTTGTTACTACAAAAAATAAAACCCCAAACACCCCACCTGGAAAATACCTCCCCTCCCCCCCCACCCCTCAAAAACCCAGAACAAACCCAAAAGGAAAGCAGGTAACAGGAGTTTTCAGTAGCGTTATCAAGCTTAACACTGGGGAGCAGCCAGCCAGGGAGGCCAACGGCATTGCCAATACCCAGCCGCTGGCAAGCGGGAGGGCTTGAGCAGACGGAGAGCAGCACCAGGGCAGGCTCTGCCACCCCCACATGCCACCCCGAACCGTTAGTTTGTTAATACTTCACTAATACTGTTATATTTCCCCTCTGCCAGCCCAGCATCAGAGACGTGGAGATCTCTACCAAAGCCAACACTAAGGCAGGAGAAAAGACCCTGTGAGGAAGGGAGAGAGTCAGTGGCTGTGACTGCTGGCTCCTACCTACTCCACCGGCACCGAGCCGCTCACCACGGTCCCATACACCGTATCGCACCCAAGCCTGTGTGAAGCACATGGCAAAATCCCATACCCCTTTCCCAAGCCCTGGCAGCACTAGGCACACCGTCGGAAAGGAGCAGGCGGTGGGGATGAAGAACTGCGCAGACCCGATAAAAAAAAGGAGCTTTAAAAAGTTTAAGTGTCCAATACACGCTTAAACCAAGCCAGGCTGCACCAGGACCCATGCCACCCCAGCTCTTGGAAGAGTGAAAGCCTAACCCCTTAAACCCCAGCTCGTGTGGGAAGCAGCTGCTGGCACATCCCAAGGTTTCTATGTGCGAAGCGGTGACCCAGACGAACCCCTCCTGCTGTCAGCCCGGCAACGTCCTCATCCCACGCTGGGGTCAGAGCACCGGCTCCCCGTGCACACGGAAGCGGTAGATGCAGGTGTATTCGAGGTGACCCCAATTGCTCAGCACCCGCAGCTCCACCAGCTGGTACGTGCCAATGGTGTCATCCTTGGGGAGAGGGGGAAGGAAAAACCTGAGCCCTTGAGAGCTCTCTGCGGCTCAGAGAGCCCAGGGGTCCCGTTGTCTTCTTGGGGTCAAGCGCTCCGAGAGCAAAGCACTTACCTCAAAGTAAAACGTTTGGATGGGATTGCCATTGTGGTTGTACTCGAACTGCCCAAGGAGAAGGCCTTCCTCCTCTCTCTCCTCCTTTAAACCCTATGGAGGGGCAGGGAGGCAGAAAGGGAGAAGAGGTGGTGATCAGAGAGGGAGAGCAGAGGTGCACCCAGGGCAGAAGAGGGAGATGGAGGCACAAGCACACTTGGTCTCCACTCCTGCTCTTCCAGGCCAAAACAGACAAATGGGGACAGGGGCCAGTGGGGAAGGATGAGGAGGAAGAGACCAAGAGTTATACCTGCTCAATTCCCTCTTCCAGTGCTTCCTAAACCCCCTCCCAAAGCCTGGTGCTCTCCCTCTCCCCTTCACTACAGCACCCCACGGCCAGGTACAGGACTCACTAGCCCTCTCCTCCTGATCCTCTCCAATGGCACCCTCCCACTGTGTCCCCTTCCTCCTCCCTCAGGTCACTCACATAGACAGCGAAGTCCTTGGGGGCACTGTCGATGTTCCCCTTGTGGGAGAGAGCTTTTGGGATGTGCTCCAGTGTCACGGCCGTGGGGCGGATGATGCTGGAGAGACGGATGACGGCAAAGCCCTGGGACCCATGAAACGCCCAGCAGTTCCCAGGGTTGACGTCTGGCTACAAGCACAAGAGCAAGACACCAGCAATGTTATCACCGTCAGTGCCGTTTTCTCCCCTGGTCGCTTGCTTAGAGCAGGAGCCAAATAAAACCCAGCAAGAGAACCAGCCCAGTTGGCCCTTCCCTTCTCACCCTGAGGGTGCCCACCTGCAAGATAACACGGGGGGACTGCGACTGGTACCACAGGGGGATGCCAAACAAGCTCAGCAGCGCCGTCCATGTCCTATAGGTCTCTGAGCAGCGGGTGTTGATGACACTGGCCCCTGACATCGAGAGGGGACAGCACCAGGTGAGCTGCATAGCGGCAGGTACGTGGTCCCCTCCCCAAGATGGCTGGCTCACCCCACACCACTTACCTGCTGACTCCAGGGCATAGTCAGCCATCCCCACACGGTCCTCGCTGTAGAGCTTCAGGGCCTGGTCCACGATGAGATGCACTTGCTGTGGGAGAGCAGAGTGAAAGGGGGAAAGGGCCAGGGTGGGCATCCTGCCTCCCACCCGCCTCCACCCCGTGGGGACAGAGAGGGCGCAAGGACCTTCCTGCAAGCAGCCAGAGGATGAATCACTGCAGCAGGAATGGGAAGACACGCGTTTGGCTGGGAAGCCTCGTTAGAGGCTGCTAAAAATAGCCCAGAGAGGAGCTGTGCATGAAGGGGCTGTGCCCAGGCACACTGGGCTTGCCTGTCCCTGTCCCAAAAGGGGTAGGCCTAGGAGAGGAGGAGTGTCCCCCAGCAGGTACCAGACACAACCTGAAAGCCCACGCAGTCCTCCCCAGCTGGCCCCTGCAGCGACCTCCTGCAGGATTGATGGGAGCTCCCGCCATCCAGAAAAGGAGGAGCTGGCCACAGCATCCCTCTGAGCCAAAACCCAGCCCCAGGAGCTGGGACCCTGCAGCATCACTGTGGGTCTAAACTTTGTGTGTGCACAGAGCTCTGCAGGGACTGCAAATCCCAGCTTTGATCCCTCCCCCTCACTACCTCCATAGGGAATTGCCAACAACAATTTCCAAAGCAAGCAGACTCATTTTTTCCTTTGGTGTCATTCAGCTGAAATGCTTTGCCCCAAGTGACTCAGCGGTGCTGATGAAGATAGGGGTAAACAAGATGCTCAAACCTTGATGGCATCTGCCCTGCCTTCTGGGTGAAGGATATGCAAGCAGAAGCCTGGATTTTAAGACAGGGAGAGCCCCACAGGCATGCAGATATTGCCAGTGACCCCTTCCAGAGCAAGGTGGAAGCGAGCAGCAGAGAAGGGATGGGGGTTTCAGGGATGCAGAAGTTTCAGGGATGGAGGAGTTTCAGGGATGCTCTTGCCAGGTGGGATGTGAACCCACGGTCAATGTCCCAAATATAAGGGCGGTCCCCACGGCTCTGCTATTTACTAGGCACATGTGCCACCCCCATTCACATACACCATGGGACACAGCCCCTGATCCCACACCTGCAGTCACCAACACTCACCTCCTCTGTCACCCCCGTGGTTCCCCCTTGCTGCAGGGCCACTCTGATCCCAGCATCCCCTGCTGACAGCCTCCTGTCCTCCAAGACTTTGCCCAGGATTCTACGCTCCAGGGCCTGGAGCTCCGCTTGCAAGTGCTCCTGCTGGCTGACAGGCCCAGCACTGCCATCCTGCTGGGACTGTGACAGGAACTGACGGGCCCATGCTGGGAACTGAGCTTCCACCTGAAACAGGGCAGAGAGCTCAGCCCCGTGGCAGGCACCCTTGTACCCCCCTCTGCCAAACATAGTGGGACCAGGGACTCACGTCAGCCTTCACTGCTTTCAGCTGCTCCAGCATCCCTTCCATGTGCTCCCTCATCACCTCCTGGTCTGATACGAGGCTCGCCAGCTCCCTCCTCAGCACTGCCACCTCCTCCTCCAGCTTGCCCACCTCCCGCTGGAAGCTTCCTTGCAGGTTATCCTGTGCTGAGCTGTGCCGAGAGAAAGGGGCAACACAACCTCACACCGGCAGCAGTCCCAGCTCCCCTCTGCGAACAGGGGGAGCAGGTTCATCCCCACCACGGCCTGCACCCATCCCCAGCCCCAAATGGGTTTAATTCCTGTAGCAGTGACCTCTTCTATTGCATCCTGTGGGAAAGCATCCCCAGCTCGCTCCTCAGCTGAAGGGCCATGCTCCCCACAGTGATGCAAAACAACGGCCATGAAGGTTATTTGCTGCAATGCCCCTTTGAGCCCTGCTGGCAGCCAGGGCACTCTCTTGCCAACATACCCACGTATCCATCACGCATTCCACAAGAGATTGTGCCTCTCAGACTCTCCTTTGCCCCAAGCAAACCAGACTTGGAAACCCCTCCTATGCCTCCCTGTGGGTATTTCACCCTGCTACCTGCCTGCCCCTAACAGAGCAGCAGCTCTGCTTGGACAGCAGCATTACCTCTGCCATTCCGAGTTCAGCTGCAGCAAATGTGTCTCCATCTCCTGCCAGGAGAAGGGGAAGGGGTGAGACCTCTGACGCCAGTAGCAGGGATGTCCTGCCTTGGTACCACCACATGCTCATTCCCTTACCCGAGAGGCTTGTGCCATCTTCCCTAGGTGTCCATCCAGATCCCTCCACACCTCAGCTCGTAGAGCATCCAGCTCACCCCGCAGGGTGAGGAACAGGGGGGAACATCACAGCCCGGCCCCACATGCCCCCAACCTTCCCGCATGCCCCCCAAACCTCACCTGGAGATGGCTGCTCATGTCAGTGCGGAGATGCTCCTTCAGCCCTGCATCCCGGCGGCTCAACAGCCCCTCCAGCAGTGCCAGGACACCCTCTGAGGGTGGCTTCCCACCTGCTGCCACGGCTGCTGCTCCCTGCTGCAGCTCCCACTGTGACATCTCAGCCTCTATCACCTCCAAGCGCTTCCCCAGGGCCTGGAAGCCAGGCAGGAGCCGGTAGTGACCCTGCAGCAGCAAAGGCAAGGTGTGATGCAGCCCCTCAAGGGGCTGCCTGCTCCACAGGGACCCCTGCGACAGGGGACTCAGGCCACCCAGTCCCTGAAGTCAATGGCATCCTATACATCTGCTGCTTCCCAGGAGAGGGCAGATGTTCCCCCTAGTCCATCCCTGGGACACCCAAGAGCAAGATGGCCACAAGCTGGGGGAACCATTTAGATCAGCATGGCAGGGCTCTTTCAGCCATGACCACACTGTCCCAGCTCTGGGCAGGCTCCCACGCCACCTGGGTCACTGCAATGCCCTTCCTTGCCAAGGCTTACCTGGTCCAGCGTGGTCAGGTCTCCTGTCTCAGGCACATCAGAGGGGGAAAGCTTTCCTGCTCCCCACCACGGGAAGGCTGGGAGGCTGTGTGTGGACAGCCCATAGGGGTAGAAGTACCAAGCTCCTAGGCATGCAGGGGGATGAGATGGTTAAAATGGCAGGGGACAGGGTGGATGTGCAGAAGCTCAGCCATCAACAGAGGTAGCAGGGTACCAGGAGCATTGAGCTCAGGACCATCCTGTGCCCCAGTGGTACGCTCTGCACTGCCCCTGATCTCAGGGCAACCGACTGAGCCAGGCCAACTCACCGTAGGCAGCAGGAGCAAGGAGCAGGAGTAGCAGCAGAATCAGAGGCCTCTTCAGCCACAAGTAACGCCTGGAGCACAGAGGAGAGAGACGTGCCTGTAGGGATGCAGCCACCTTCTCCCACCACATTTCTCCAGATGGGGACCAGAGGGAAAGCAAAGTCTACCCACAGGACATTCACCCCACATGTTGTGTGGCCTATGAGGCACCCCCTCTCTGGGGTCCTGTGGGTTTTCCCTACATCTCCCCCATCCTGGTGTCCCACCACCACACTCACCTGGAGAAGGGGATACTGGCCGGGTATGGAGCCGTGCCGGTGAGGCGGTGCCAGGCAGCTGCCAGCCCCGAGAACAGCCACCTCAGGAACCGAACTGCAGGGAGACAAACCAAGCCTCAGGCAGCATCCTGGCGAAGATGCGCCCTCTGCCCCCCAGGATGCTCCGCAGGGAGGTGAAACCCCTCCACGCAATGACAGAACATCACATGCGGAGTAGAGACTCCAGCAGGGAAGAAAAGGTGCTGCTGCAAACACCTCTCCACTCACATGGTGCAGTGAACACCAGCCAGAGGAAGGAGCCCGCCTGGGAGGCTGCAGACCTCAGCCACGACCCAGAGCTACTCTGGCCTGAGCTGGAGTGACCTGGGAAGGAAGAAACAAGGCAGTAAGTCACCAAACAGCGCCTGCACCCCTGTCTGTCACCCAGGGTGAAGGCTTTACACAGGGGGGGGCATGCAGGTGGGGCTGACAGCAGCCTGAGCACAGGCAGGTGCTGGGCTGGTCCCCCTGGGGGCATTTCCCCCCAGCATCCCTGGCACTGCAGAGAGGCCAGAGCATCCCTACCGGCATAGTCATCTTCCGAGGAGTACCCAGACGAAGAGGCATAGGTGTCGTACGTCTTCCTCTCCAGCAGCCCACTGATCTTGCTGGACTCTCCGTCCCCACTGCCTCTTTTGGTAGAGAACTCGCCACCTTCCATAAAACACAGAGTCCTCCTCAGAAACCATTCACCATCCCCATCCCCAAGGGGGGCAGCTGTCCTGGTGGGGCTGCCCCGACACCCTGCTGGTGCACAAAGAACATCCCCAGCTACTGTGGGAGAAACATAAGGGAGAGCTCACCCAAATACATGCTGCTGTCCAGGGCATCGTCCAACATGGAGCTGCCCAGGGCAGCAAGGCCCGGGCTGCCCCCCAGGTAGGACTCGCTCACCAGGGACTCGCTGTAGTAGGAGGTTTGGGTGCTGGGGGCAGGAGAGAGGCGCTTGGCGCTCCTCGATTTCCTCCTGACCGTCCTGCTGTGGGCGAGAACGGGCTCATCAGCCACGCACGGGTACAGGAGGGGGACGTCTCAGTGCACCCCCGGGGCAGAAACGGGGCCTTCACCCCACGCCCTTGGCCGGCATCGCTTCCCTCCGCCCTGCACCGGGTGGGGGCAGGTTTTGGAGGGTGCAACCGCTGCTTTGCGAGAGGCGCTGCCGCTCATCCGCGGGCACCGCTTCCGCTCGCACCGCTGCGGTTTTCCGGCCCGGCACTGGCAGCACACCTCCCTCCCGCCCCCGGGCTGCAGGCGGCACCAAACCCCCCCAGCCGCCCACGGGGGAACGCAGAGGTGCCGCGGATGGGAGCACCCGGAGGGCACAGCCGGTCCCAGGCAGGCAGCGGCCATGCCGGAACGCAGCGAGCTCGCCGTCATGCTCCCGTCTGCAAGCTGCCGGGGAAGGTGCCCGCTCCATGCTGTGGGATGGAGTGCCCTGACCACGTCTGGGAGATGGGACGGCCCCGCACCCCTCTAACCTGCCCGCGCCCTCCTTGAAGGGGAGCTGTTCCCTTCCCATCAGGGAGCTGCTGCTGCTGCCGGTCGTGGCATCGTCATCCTCGAGGTAATAGCGGGTAGTGATGAGGCGCTGGCTGCGGCGGGCCATTGCCGGCGGCTCGGGACGGGGGGGTTCACGGTTCAACTGGGGCGGGGAGGGGAGACAAGGAAGCATCAGCAGGAGGGGACGCACCGGTAGCAGGGAGCCCACTCGCGGGGGGTGCCCGGGCAGGTGCTGTGGGTGCTGAAAGCCCGCCGAGGGGCACCTGCTGCCGCGGGCAGCCACTGCCGGGCCGGGATGGAGCCGCCCGCCCGTTCCATCGCCACCAAGGCCGCCTTACAAGGTTACAGAGGAATATATATGCGTATTTAATATATATATATAATATATATATAAAGATATACATTTATATATATTTATTTATATACGCACACACACGCATACTCCCTTCCCTTCTCCACCCCTCCCACGGGCCACCCAAGCGGGCACCCTCCGACCTTCTACACCACCCTCGTCCCTGGCCCGTGTCCCCGCACGCCCACCACCACCTACGCGCAGCCCAGGCCCGCACTCACCCCTTCCCCTGCCCCTGCCGCTGCCGCTGTCGCTGCCGCTGCCGCCGTCCCTGCCCACGGATGCCGTTGACGCCGCTCCGCCCCCTTTTGTCTGCCGATCAGAGCCCAGAGCCCCGCCCCCCGGTGCCCCGCCCTACCCCATTGATCCACCCCCCCAGCCACCGCCCCGCCCCTCTCCACGGCGCGCCCGGCGCCGCCGCTCGCCGCCTGCCCGCCGCCTTGTAGGGGCTCCTCGACAGACTCTTTATTGTTATCGCTGTTGCTATCGCAATCGCTATATTAGCATCGCCTTATTGTTGTGATGGGAATGGCTTTAACCTCACAGGGAGGAGATACGGGTTAGAGTTAAGGAAGAGATTCTTCCCTGTGAGGGTGATGAGGTCCTGGCACAGGTTGCACAGAGAAGCTGTGGCTGCCCCATCCCTGGCAGTGTTCAAGGCCAGGCTGGACGGGGCTTGGAACAACCTGCTCTAGTGGAAGGTGTCCCTGCCCATGGCAGGGGGTTGGAACTGGATGAGCTTTAAGGTCCCTTCCAACCCAAACCAGTCTGGGATTCTATGCTTATCATTTGGGGGTGATGAGGAAGGCCCATCCCTACCCCCTGGCTGCCCACAGGTCACCAAACACTTCAGCCCTGGGGGACTTCCAGCCAACACCCCCTATGCCCACCAAGGGCTGCAGGCAACCCATGCTACCAGGCAAGGGCAGGCCCTTGGGTACACACTATGGGTGATGGTGATCCAAGATGGGGGCTCCTTCTTGCTCCCCAGCCCTGTTTGAGTTTTGCTGGGGCAGATGGTTTGGCAGCCCCGGTGAGGTGGCAAACACCCAGCAACCCCACACACCACCTCGACGGCACAGCCAAACCCATCCCTACGGCGCAGGCAGCCCCACTCGACACCCGTGTGCCCACGCCGCCTCGACCGGGTGGGCAGGTTCTGCTGCTGCCCAGCCCCATGGGCTCAGACACCCCGTTACCATCCCTCTCCCCCATGGGCTGCGGGGCGGGAGCCAAACCCGGCTGCTCCCGTGGGACCTTGTGCCAAGGCGCCGGGGTGAGACAGCAGCCGCCTCCTACGCCCCGCGTTCTAAATCTGACAGCTCCCTGTGGGAGCTCGGCTGGGGGGGGGGGGCACAGCATGGGAACGGCCCCGTTGGCTTCGGGTAAGGCGGCAAAAGGGCGTTTATAGAAAGGGTTAAAAACGTGAAACCAGCCCTGTTGAGAAACAGCCCTGAAACCTCAAAACCTTCTCCTCTCCACGCCAGGGCTGGTGCACGGGCTGGGGACCTGCTGCCAAAAGGGGGGGGTGAGACCGCAACAAACCCCAATTCACGGTCCCCGGCCCCGTTGTGTAACACAGACAGACCCTCTTTGTCTCCCTTTTCTTTCCCTTTTTTCTCCCTTTCGAGCCCATTTTTGTTGCAGCCTAAATCTCTGCCTGGCTTTTCCAGGGCAGCGCTGCCTCCCGCTGCACCAGCCACCCTTTCCCAGCCTTTCCTGCAGTTTTCCATCACCGCACGGGTGACCAGCCAGGCCAGAGGACATCTCCCTGTTGGCACCTTTACCTGGGGACACTGGTGGCGGCTGTGAGGCACCTGCCCCAGCTGACATAACCCTGCTGTGGATTAACCCCCGTGGGAAGCTCAGCGGATAAGCTGGGTGCTGAGCCACTGGGTACTAAATAGGGTGCATGGCCCCAGGTCAATCCATCCCCTCCTGAGAGCCAGTTTCTGGTGGGGAGGGAGTTGGTAGCAGTTCCTGGAGGATTTGAGGGAATGCTGGGGGGGGGGGAATGGGGCTTTTCACCCCCTTGTTGCACCCCCAGGGCTGCAGCAAAGGTGGCGATGCTGGAGGTGTGGGGTTTTTTGGATGGGTATGGGAAGAGCAGCACAGGGGTAAGTAGTGAGTGGCTGGGAGCTCATGCCTCAGTGGGGTTCTGGGGGTCACCAGGGCATCGCTGTGCTGGAAGGGGTTGTGAGGGAGGCAGAAGGAAAAGCAGCCCTGCTTGGGGAGATCTCAGCTCATCGTCTCCACTAAGCCAACCTTTTATTTAAATACCCTCCCTGTCCCAGCTATCCCTACACCCCCTTTCCCGGTGCATCACACTGCCGGCCCCAGCGCTGCCAAAAGCCAGGCTATGCACACCGCTCTCCATATCACTCTCACCAAAACACCCCAACCTCCGTGGGGTACGCCCCCCCCGTCAAACCTGTGACCCCACATCATCCACCAGCACCTTGTCCGGGTGGGCTGCCCCGGCCAGGCAGTGTCCCACCGCCGCCAGCACCTTCGCCAGGCGCCGGTCCAGCGCGCGCAAGTGGGGCTCGGCCAGGACGGGGGCCAGGGGGTCGGTGGCCAGCGCCTCCCGCAGCAGGTCGCTCAGGCGGTAGGACGGGGTGGCCAGCAGCTGCAGCCGCAGGTAGGTCGATTTCTTGATGCTGCCCAAGATGAGGAGGGAGAAGGGTCTCAATCCAGGGAATCCTTTCCCGACAGCAGCTCTGGGGTGCACTGTGGGAGTCCCTTACCTGCAGCATTGCCGGAGCGGGGCCAGGATGGACAGTTCATCACGTGAGTGAGTGCCGAAGCTGGAGGAAATCCCATCAGTGGGCATCAGGGCAGCATCGCCCCACGGCTCAGAGCCCAGTGTGGGGAGCATTTTGGCACGACCCGCTGTTTCCCACCACCCCTTTGCTAGGCTTGCTTCCCCCTCCCCGGCTTTACCCGCGGCCGTTGTCCAGGTGGAGTAAGAAAGTGTCATTCCCAAACTTCTCGAAGGTCTCGTAGTGGTGCCGATCCATATTGCCTGCAGTGGGGCAACAAGGGGGCCGTAGGGTGGTGGGCCGGAATGTGGGAGCAGGGATATGCACCCCTCCTGGTGTGAGACCGAAACCCAGAGGCTGGGGAAAAAGGCTGGGGGCACCTCCAGGTGGTCATGGCCATGGCATAGGGGGACCCAAGCAAAGCCCAACCCCCTTCTCATCCCAGCAGCCCCATGGAGGGAGCCAGAGATGAGAAGATGGGAAGCTCTCCAAGTCAGATGATGTTGGGGGACAGCATGGGGAGGAAGGACCATCCCTAGGAACAGGATAGGCAATTCAAGGCTTGAGGAGCATCCCTACATCCCGGCTCCCCAGGGGCGGCATGTGGGAGCTTGCTCGCAGGTGCTTCCTGTGCCCAGGGTGTTCAGCTTGTCCTTTGGTTTCTGCCTGGCATGTGTCCTAATGGAACAGCCTTTGCTCTCGGTTTGGGTAAGAGCCCAGCTCTCTGCAGCCTGAGCAACGGTTTGGCCAGCAAACCTCACAGGGCACGGTACTGTGGGACATGAAGCTGTTTGGGCCTCCCGGATCCCAGCGCCAGCACAGCAGGGCTCACCCATAAGGAAATCAAGGACCGTCATGTCGATGAGGTCGAGGAGGCGATGGCCCCTGTCATAGGGTGGTGTCTCCCGCACCTGAGTGCAGTAGTTGGGGTTCAGCTCCCACCTGTGGGCAGAGGCCGAGTGTGGGACAGGGCTATGACAGCAGTCATGGGGCAGCCCCCTCCTGTCCCACTGTTCTGCTGCCCCATTCCTCACTATGAGGGTGCTGAGGCCCAGAGAAGCTGTGGCTGCCCCATCCCTGGCAGTGCTCAAGGCCAGGTTGGACGGGGCTTGGAGCAACCTGCTCTAGTGGAAGGTGTCCCTGCCCGTGGCAGGGGGTTGGAACTGGGTGAGCTTTAAGGTCCCTTCCAACCCAAACCATTGTGTGGTTCTATGATTCCATGTCCCCATCCCTCCCTGTGACCCAGCTCACTCAGCTTTCTTGCTCTTGTGGTAGGAGCGGCGCCAGGGGCTGCGCCAGGAGTGCCGCTTGGCCAGAGTCTTGTCGGGCAGCAGGGCGGCCATGGAGCCCTCCAGCCGGTCCGGCTTGCCACAGAGGGCATGCTCGGTGGAGCAGTAGTAGGAGCACTCCCCGTAGAAGCAGATGTTGCCCGCTGGCCAAGGGGACAAAGCAAAGGTTGGCAAAGGACAGGAAGGCAGCGAGCCTGCTACCCCCATGTATGGCGGCCCAGCCGGCAGCCACGTGAGGATGCTGCATGCACCGCGGCCATGTGCCACCAGCAAAGGAATGGCAGGGAAGGCCTTGAGGAGCACTATCCCATGGCAGGGGACCCAATGGGAACTGCAGCAGTCCCCAAAGGGACTGTTTGCCCCAGTGCGCAGGAGCCTGGGCAGGAGCAGCCCCCTCCAGGAGAGGAGGGACAGCACAAAAACTCACCTGGAGAGATGAAGAAAGTCTTGGCCAGTTTCTTGTCCGTGGTAATGTCACGAATCTCCTTTGTTATATTGACCAAACGGCCAGAAACGGGAGGGATTCGCCGGAAATCCAGGATCCTGAAACACAGAACTTGGCACCATTCCTTGTTGACCCCCAGCTGGTTTCACAGCGAGTTATTAAACCCATCATGAGACGCAGGTGTCCCTCGCACAGGGAGGAAGAGGTGGGATGAAGGAGCAGTTTCTGCGGTGCTTTGCTGTCGTGGGAGAGCAGAGTTGGATGCAAAGCTTGCACTCACCTGTCCAGATGGAAGGCTGCAATCTCTGCATTGTGCCGCTCAAAGTCCGAGAAGTAGAAGAAGTCGATGGGGGTCTCCTGGTCCCGGGTCTGCCTGGGAGGAGAAGGGAGGGTGGAGGTGACAGCCATTGGGCAGGCTCACCACGAGCATGGCCTTGGCTCCAAACCAGCCCTCACCCTGTGTCCCTGA